TGGGGCCCCCCTCACCTGGTTGCTGCTAGGGCCTCAGCCAAGAAGGAGTACTGGGCCTCTCCAAGCGAACCCAAAAGCACCACCTGCACCAAACCCTAAACCCTAAACCCTAAACCCTAAACCCTAAACCCTAAACCCCAAACCCTAAACCCCAAACCCTAAACCCTAAACCCTAAACCCTAAACCCCACATTCCCAATTCTAAAGTATTCCCTATGATGATGAACTGCTGCACCTAAACCAACCCACACTCTCCCAGTAAACCCTAAACCCTAAACCCTAAACCCTAAACCCTAAACCCTAGGTGATACGTACTCCATCTTCCTTTTGTTTGTTTTGTCTTCTTCGTGGGGTTTCTTCTGCGAGCGCAAACTCAGAGGCCCCGAAGGAGCAGCGGGGGGGGCCCCCAACTCAGCCAGCCGCCGCCCCGCCACAAGCAGCCGCATCAAAGGCCGCAGCAGAGAGGAGACACGCAGCCAGCATCTCCTGCAGCAACAGCCTAAACCCTAAACCCTAAACCCTAAACCCTAAACCCTAAACCCTAGAGTGAATTCTATGTAGTATAAACCCCAAAAAGAATATGAAGAAGTAGCAGTGGATAGACACCATCAATAAACCCTAAACCCTAAACCCTAAACCCTAATTTTCCTCTTTTATAACCACAAACCTCGTCTTTTATATAAGCCCCCATAAGCTATCCCCATGTACCCTAAACACACTCCAATCTAGGGTTTAGGGTTTAGGGTTTAGGGTTTAGGGTTTAGGGTTTACGAGGCAAGCTGCGTGAGACAGTTGTCGTGCAGCAAACGAATCTCCTCGAAGTCCTTTCTCCCCCTCGCCGCTTCTTCTATTTCATAGAATACAGGCTGAAACCACAAACCCTAAACCCTAAACCCTAAACCCTAAACCCTAAACCCTAAACCCTAAACCCTAATCCTTTCTTCTATTTCATAGAATACAGGCTGAGACCACAAACCCTAAACCCTAAACCCTAAACCCTAAACCCTAAACCTCTTTCTAGCGAGAACACAGACAAGGGAGACTCCACGGGGGCCCCCCAATCGGCTATTAAGTATTACCTGGGGGCCCCCTTGGGGGCCCCCTTGGGGGCCCCAGGGGGGCCCCCTAATACCCTTTTTGGTGTCGTTTTTTTATATTACTTTATTTATTTAATTTATTTATTTATTTATTTTATTTATTTATTTTATTTATTTTATTTATTTATTTAATTTATTTATTTTATTTATTTATTTTATTTATTTATTTAGCTTACACCTATTGCATAATACTGAAAATATTTGGAGACAGAAGAAATATAAAAAGCGAGCTCACTGCGGGCGGCCCACAGCTGTGTGGAGACAGCGTGAGGAGACACCTGAGCCCCTGCTGCTGCTGCTGCTGCTGCTGCTGCTGCTGCTGTGCTGCTGCTGCTGCTGCTGCTGATGGGGAGAGGAGCTGTGCGGCTGCAGGCAAACCGCAAGGGAGATGGACCGCGGGCGTAAGACCTGAGGAGACAGCACAACAGAAGGAGACAGTAAACGGACAAAAGAAAAGGAGACAGAAGAAAAGGAGACAGACAAAAGAAAAGGAGACAGAAGAAAAGGAGACAAACAAAAGAAAAGGAGACAAAAAAGGAGACAAACAGACAGACAAATATGTGTCTCTTTCTGTTTCTATCTGTCTCCTCTTTCTATCATATAAAAGGAGACAGTTTATTGTTACTGTCTCCTTTCTGTCTCCTTTCTGTCTCCTCCAAGGAAAGAGAAAATATACAGAGACAGAGAGACAGACAGAGAGAGAGAGAGAGAGACAGAGAGAGAGAAGGAGACAGAGAAGGAGACAGAGAGAGAGAGAAGGAGACAGAGAGAGAGAAGGAGACAGAGAGAGAAGGAGACAGAGAGAGAGAGAAGGAGACAGAGAGAGAGTGAGATACAGAGACAGAGACAAGGAGAGAGACAGAGAGAGAGAAACAGAGAGAGAGAGGGAGAGACAGAGACAGAGAGAGAGAGAGAAAGAGAGAGAGACAAAGAGATAGACAGAGAGAGAGAGACAGAGAGAGAGAGACAGAGAGAGAGACAGGGACAGAGACAGAGAAAAAAAAAATAAAGAGAGACAGATCGAGGAGGGGAGGCAAAAGGAGACAAAAAAGAAGCAGCAACACAAACATAAACAAAACATAATAAAGATAGATGAGGAGACAGGAGACAGAAAAAAATATATATAAAAAGATAAAAAAAAAAGAAAATAAAATAAAATAAAATAAAATAAATACATATAAACCCACTTCCTTATAAAACATCCGCGCCGCCACAGCTGCTGCAAATCGACCTCCAGGGACCTGCAGCAGCAGCAGCAGCAGCAGCAGCAGCAGCAGCAACAGCAGCAGCAGCAACAGCAGCAGCAGCAGCAACAGCAGCAGCAGCAACAGCAGCAGCAGCAACAGCAGCAGCAGCAGCAACAGGAGCAGCAGCGTTCACTCGCCATGGCGTTGCAGCATCCAC